ATATGACACCATGACAATAATAAGTCCTATGTGCACGGAATTGGATCCATATTTACGCAACAAGACAATTTTAGGAAACATGGATGAATTAAAAGAAAACGAAAGATGATCTACAGTTAAATAATAATCATAATTTTTTTTTCTCTTTTTGAAACAATTATTGGACATATTTTTTTTTACAAAAACTTTATTATTAACATAGAGATTTGAAACTAATCTAGTAATCTGTGCAGAAGAACCTCGGTAGAGCCTTTTGGTAGAACCAATAAATAAACGTTCATTATTATATCCATTGTGACTATTATTTAGGCAAACTAAAGTTAATTCAAATGTTACTCTCAGCAGTAAAGTTTCGCTGAAAGGTCTCTTATTTTTAAGTTTTAATGTCAGTGCAGTGTGACAAAAGAGACATGTGACGAAGGAGACATTTTTTACAATAAAAAAATTTATTTTCCAAGCGACACAATAAATTCACATAAAACATTGCATTAATCAAAAGGAAAGAAACTGGTTTACTTTACATGAACAAGAAAATTAAACTCTGCAAACATGGGCGCCGGAAGGAATTCGTCTAGGAGGGGGGTACTTAAAGTTTTTTACAATTTTGTTAGATGTTATTTATAATCAAGTTGTACTGTACTGCCGTGCTTAATGAAAACGCCGTAACCAACAATTTTGTGATTTTTGTATTACGGCATTTTCTACTAGAACAATTCATCCTGCGTCTATCCCCGGTACTCAAAAAACCGTATCTATATATATACGGTTTTTTTATTACCGGGGATAGACGCAGGATGAATTGTTCTAGTAGAAAATGCCGTAAAACAAAAATCGCAAAATTGTTGGTTGCGGCGTTTTCATTAAGCACGGCAGTGTAGAAGTTCACATTAAACTTAAGTCAAATAAAATATCATCTTTATAATATATTATGTATATTTCCCTATTTATTTATATTGGTACAAATTGCAAAAAATACATCACAGTTCTTTGGTAAATATAAATAACTCTTGGATTCCAAATCAAAATTGATATGAACCTTGTTGCACTTATATAAGATTCCATCTAAGATCTTTGGAATATGAACAGGGCCTATGCAAAATTTGCAAATCTTCGCCCCCCATATCAATATCCTATATAACTTTTCAATAAGAATGTCTCTACTTACCTTTGACACCTTCAGGTTTATGATAAAAAAATTTAATTTTTAATTAATCAATTAAATAATTGTTCTAATAATAAATCTAAAAAAATAAATAAATATTTATTAAAAAAAAACATACCTACATTGTTAATTATTTAGTAGGTACAAACAACTAAAAATATATTTAAACGATACTTAAACAAAATTTCTAACTGAAATTAATAACACAACAAAAAAATAAAAAAACTCAGCTTCTAAGGAACAGCGAACAAAATAAATAATAATTAATAAAAATAAACAACTAATTAATTTTTTTTTTACGTATTTTCATTTCCGAAAACTTATCTATGATACCATTTATTTCTAATTTATCTAGAATATCGCTTTCTACGTTTAGAATAGCCAACGATGAAACATTTTTTTCTTTTAATGAGTTTCTTAGATAGGTTTTTACCGGTTTTAACGTAGAAAATGATCTCTTTCCAGATGCGTTACTAATAGGAATAGTTAAATATATACGGAACAATACCTTAACGTTAGAGTCTCTAACTTAGAGAAGGTTGACAAAATATTGTTATCAATTAAAAATTTTAACATTTCCTGGGGGTCTTTAGAGGAAATATCATTTGATTTACAAAGTGCTTTAAATTGTATAATTTCATCCACTAAATCTTCAGTAGCATCCACATCCATATTGTAATATTTTTTTATATTTTTTATACTTACATTAAATCTTTAATTTGAGGGTTCAACAAAAAATACACCAAAAATTTCATTTACACAATCATACGCTTGCATTCTAATTTTTAATTCAAAAATCAATTTGTCACATATAGGAAAAAAAACTATTTATTTTAAAGTTTTCAGCACCGCTTAAAGTAATGTCTTGTGCAGGGCCTTCATCAAAGAACTTGTTCCTCTTACGGACTCTTGAAATTTCATCCTTATAAACATTATTATTTGGCTAAATTTTTTTGGATTCCTCTTCAATTTCATCAAACTGTTCTCTAAAACTCTCGACAAATTCGATCAATCCGCTATAAAGTGTACAAGCCGCAGTTAGATTGGCTTGATTATTTTGTAGAGATTTACTTGTGGAGTTTATTCTGTCTAGGATTCTTTTCCAAATTGAGGTCATCAAAGCAAATTCAAATGTATTTATTTTGTTAAGTAAATCTCCAGCTTCTGTTCTGGTAGAGTTTTTTTGGTTTGCATCTTCATTTAGCTCTACTAACGCTGTTTTTATTTCACTAAAACCAAGCGCAATAGATTTAATAGCATCAGCTCGTGCTGACCATCTTGTATCACATATTTTCTTAACCAATGGTAATTTAGTTTTTAAAAATAGGTATGGCTTTATTTTAAATTTAAATTGAAATGGTTTATAATTTTTTTCAAGGGCTTTTTTCGGGCCCCATTTTCCTCCGGGCCCAAGGCCCGGGCCTTATGGGCCTTTAGGTAAAATAGGCCCTGAATATGAACATAATCATCTGTGGCTTCTGGTTTCTTCGCCATAGGATTATGAACAGAAATCAGTAAACTGTGCTTCTGATTTCTTTGAACAGCCAGCCATTTCATTCATTTTACAACTGTAACAACACTAGTGTTCATTAAGACGGCACAAATCTAAGTTAAATTATCTAAGATAACAAATTTAATTTATCTAAATAATAATGAACAAATGATAACGATCAGCACTTACCGTTAAATTATGGAGTACCGGAATTTATGGGTATGAATTTCCAGGGGGGGCAGGCCCCCCCTGCCCCTATGTAGCGGCGCCCATGTCTGCAAATACTTACCGAAAGATAACCTTCAAAAAACACGCTGCTTGATTGTAACCCGCAAAATAACAATTGCGATACTATTGCCTGCAGCTGCGCTATCTTGTGCCACAGTTATAAATTACATGGGTTACAGAGTTCTTTTATATGGTATGCTAAACTCCAGTATATTTTATAAAAATATGTTTTTATTCAGGTTAGTGACATAAAATAAATATAAGGACAATGTTTGGTCACGCTTTAAAAATTATTTACAGACATTTTATCACATTCTTTATTATTATTAGTACTGAGGAGCTACTTATTTGTTATTTCATTTTAGTTTTAGAATTCTGTTTATTAACAAACCCAAGGAATATATACAAGTTTTTACTATTGCATGTCCCCATCATGCATGGGGCTATATAGTGTGATGCTAACTTTCAACCATAATTAGGACATTACAAATATTTTTATATTTAATTGAAACATTTTCTATTAATTTTTGTTATTTTAAATTCTTTTTTTATGAATCTAGTTCTATATTATTGTCTTAATTTTTTTTTAATAGAAATGTTAGGGACAACTGACAAATGGCAGAGAGCCTTAATAGTATAATGACCAAGGACCGGATTTTAGGCAAAATGCCTTTTTGTTTCTATTTTAGGCATTTGTTTGGGACCTTGAAATTAATTCTAAACTTAAAAAAATAAAGCGTTTGACACCCCTTTGATTTGCCTAAAAGCCTAAAATGGCGAAATTTTGATTTATTGTCCTAAAAGGACATTTTTATGAGCCTAAAATAGACTTTTTTAATTTTTCAGAAAAAAATATATTTTTCATTGTGGAAAAGTAAATTATTTTTAATTAGACCCTGCTTTCATGCTCTTATTTCGCCTAGACGCCCTTGGTGAGTACGAGGACCACAAATTACAAAACTAGTAAAAACCTAATAAAAAAAGTAATTGTGTTTTTGCTATCTAAATATTTATTATAAATAATAAATAATAATAAAACTGAAATTACCATATTTTATAGTAAAACCTATGAAAACAAAGTAAATAATAATTTTTAACCATTATTTTACATACTTAATATTATCCCTAATTATAATTATATATTATATAATTTCAGTTTTAACAGTTTTGTCGCCATCTATGGCATAATTAAATAACTCTCCACAATTTACAGGTGGTAAATACTTTTTCTATAAAGACAATAGATGGCTAAAACCAACTTTGACAACATATACTTACCAGTATGTAAGACTTATACTTACATTGTAAGGATATGTTTGACAACCGTTGGAATCAACGTATCGTGCTTTTGTTTGTATTTGTTTATATTTTTTGTTCAGCGTCGCCTGTTTATTCCAATATTTTTTCTTTTCTTTATTCATACGGGCAATTGTTTGCAAGAGTTTGTGTTATTATTTTTATTATGTATTTTATATTAAGAGATACATATGTATTTTTTGTTTTATTTTTATTGATAGTACCTGAATAAATGTTATGTTTAATCGTGTTGCTTTTAATTCATATCGCCTATTTTAGACACATTCGGCCTAAAACGGCCTAAAATGTAGGTTTTTATTGCCTATTTATGCCTCCTAATTTCCAATTTTTAGGGCCTAAATCCGGTCTTTGTTTATAACTGACAAAAACTTGGTTTGAAGGGTATTGCAGCAATATAAAACATACACAATTGGGTTATGTTCGCAGTTTGCAAAGAGTTCTGATATATCGCCTATTTTAAACGGTTGAGGCCTATTTTAGGCACTTTCGGCTTAAAACGGCTTAAAATGTAGGTTTTTATTGCCTATTTAGGCGTCCTAATTTGCAATTTTAAGGGCCTAAAATCCGGTCTTCGGCTCATATACGAGTTTTGCAATAATGGCGAATGCGCCGGGGTTAAAGATTTTAAAAATATATTTTTTTCTTAAAAACCCGTTCAAAAACAATCGTATGCATAGAAATGTCCTGTAATACCAAAATTGGTATATTCTGCTTGTGCCTCAATTCGAAATTTGTTGACGTGCACAGCGCCAGCAGGAAATGCTTCCTGGACAATCAATAAAAGTCCGGCGCATGACAATAGTCCACCAAGTTACCCAAAACAACCCCCGAGCAACGTTGAACTCTCGTCAAAATAAAAACACGACTGAATTAAAATATGATAAAAAACGACAGCGCGTCTAAATCAAAAATGATTTAAATATCAGTGAAGCCATGGAAGACACATCCAGCGATGCCCACGGGTACGCGAAATTGGTCAAGCCGAGGAGACAGAAGGAGTACAATAACAGGACGACTTTCACCAACTTGTCCCCTCCGGTTGATGCTTACAATGCCGTTTATTTGGCATTCGTCATGGGGGGCGCCGGATTTCTGCTCCCCTATAACAGGTAAACACACCCTTCGAGTAGCCTTGTCCAAAAATCATCAAACCAAATTTAAATTTCAAAAGTTTAACTGATATCAGTTAAAAATGTTACGTGATTTATTAAAGTATATTATGTAACAAGTTTTATAAACGCCATTTTAGTCACGAGTTTTAATTAGGCACGAGCGAAGGTCGCGAGCGAGTGTTTAATAAAAACGAGTGTCTAGAGAAGGTTATAAAACGAGTTGCTTAATATAAGTACTTTATCTACGACGAAGACAAAGTAATGTTTTTCAGAATTTAAAGCCAATTTTATTTGTTAAACATTTGATATCTGACATCCGTCAGACAGTTTTAAGACTTTTAACCTCACTTTTACGAATTTATAATAAAGCTAACTTCAGCCGACTAAAATGCCATAAAGTAAAAGTTTCTCAATTTGGGAGGTGATAATAGTATATTATGCAACAAGTTTGATAAACGGCATTTTAGTGACAAGTTTTAATAAGGCACGAGCGTAGCTTGCATAGCAAGTACTTCTTACACGACGAAAACAAATATTAGATAATTTTTAAAAATAAATAAATAAAATCTGACAACCCTATACTTACCTACTAAATTAAAAAAAAATCCACAATAATACCTAACTACAAAAATTTATTTTGTCAAGTTATCCATGAAAAACATTGAAATAAAATTAAACCTATAGCAATTTCAATGTTTTTTTTTCATGGATAACTTGACAAAATACATTTTTGTAGTTATTATTGTCCATTTTTTTCTTAAAATTTTTCAATAAAATTTACATTTACGTTTTGAGGGGTGGTGAATCCAGTGCCGTGCTTAGATTTTTACCCTTAAAAACTGATATAGTAGGGCTTGTATTTTGTAAAAATATTGCGTTTTTTGCTTCAAAAATACTGTTTATCAGGATCTACACTTTAAAACAAATCCGGTTAAATTCGCACAATAAATAAAGATTTTACAGGGGTGAGTCGCAAACAAATGGGTCATACTATATATATGTAATATATAATATAATTATAGTCGCTTAATTTTTACGAAATAAACGACTATATTTTCAAATTCAAAATTTCAAATCCCCCATGAGAATAATAAAATTTCAAAAATAGTCAAAATTATGAGGTAAATTTTTGCACACAAAAAATAATTAAAGTTTCAGCTTAAAATATGAATTTTTAAAGTTGCTTATGACTACAAATGGGATTTTAGGTTGCATTATTAATAAAAATCGGAACCTAAATAGGTTAACTTTTTTCTTGTTTTTGGTAAGAAATTTCTTTAATTAGGTACGTTCTTTTCGAAAATAGGTACTGGAAAACAACTTTTAGGTAGTAAAATTATTTAATTTATTATTGTATAAAATTTTATTGATTTATGATTCGAAAAATTTGAAAATAATATATTTTATAAAAATATCATATATCAGCGGCACAAAATGTTTTTGTAAATGAGCTGACTTAAAAATTCAAATGTATTATAGAAATTAAAAAAAAATACTTTCTCATGAAAAAGCAAAAACCCCAATTTTACAAAAAAGCATGTTTTTGATGGTACAATTTGAAAATTTCATTTTTATTAAAAATAAGAATTTAGGTAAGAATGAAAATGAAATTTTTTAGGTGGTAAAATTTTAAAATTAGGTCCATTTCTCTTAAAAAATAAAATTTAGGTAAAATAGGTAAGAATTAAAATGATTTTTTTTTCAAAATGGATTTTATTCCATTGCACCTTAAGTTATGATTAGAGTAGACAAATAGGTAAAAAAAACTAAAATTCCATCTCTACTTCTGACTTAAACGTATTAAAATTCATGGTTTTTAAGCAACCTTTAAATATTAATATTTATACTTATACTAATTAAAAAATATAATGGAAGTAATTCCATATGTTAGTTTAGTATAACAGTGAATTAATGTAACATTAATGAATACTTTTATACATTTTTTAATCGAGCTGATTTTAGGAAAGATCTCTTTAAAGTTTAAAGTTTAAAGTTTAAACATGGTAAACTAAAATATTTTCATAGAAGACTGGAAAAAGTATTTAACCTATTTTATTTTTCCTTTATTAAATTACGCGTTTGGCCTAATAAATAAATCTGGGACGCCTAGGAATGTAGATTAAAATAAAGGAACAGTAAGTGAAATTCTAAAAAACTTTAACATCTTAATTAATCTAATTAATAATAATTAAAGTTAAACCTATTTAGTTAAAATGAAACTTAGCGTTATGTGGAGGTTGATTTGTTACTAAAGAAGGATATTAAGATTAAATAATTAAAATAAATATATTAAAAAATAAATTATTTAAGTGATGTTCCATTAATTATTTTTAAGATTCTTTGTAGGAAATTACCAACATAAGATTAACATTTAAAACGTGTTATTTTAATAATAATTCTATTTGGAACTTTTAAATTTTTGTATACTATATGTTACTCTTATTAGACTACTTTTTGGGAAAAAAAAATTGCGGATGTGGAAATATTTTACATAATTTAACTTTGTGGTAAAATTTAAGCTTAAAATTTACATAGATTGCATATGCGTTTAGTTTTGATAAAAATATAATAACAAAAAATTTAAAAAAAATTATAAATATTAATTACTTTTTTGAGGCCCTTTTAATTTTTGCTTATAACTATCAATAAAAGTTGGTTCGAATGAAAAATTAAGGCAACATGAATCCAAAATGCTAGATTTATATATAAAGTATTTCATATTATTATAATATGCATAATTATTAATAAGACGCGCTTCGCAAGTTTCTTACCACCCACCGGCAAAAAAACCGGCCACCAGAAATTGGCAACCGGATTTTTTTTTTAATGTAGGTTGACTCTTGATTTTTATTTTGCATATACATTTAGTGTACAAGTAAGAAGAAGTTTTTTGCCTAAAATTTGTGACACCCTGTGGGGTGCATCAGCATTAACAGCGGATGTCAATTAAAACCATACTGTAGTCCTATATTTTGTGAACATTTTCTTTTTTCTTCACGTTATTAACACTGTTTTAAAGCCAACTCCTCAGATAGTGTTCGTATGATTTCCTCGCGAACCGCTTACCTGATTTTGATGATTTTATTTGATCTGTTATTTAACTATTTAGTAACTATACTGAAATATACATTTTTATTCAGATATTAAATTGAGCATATACAGGGTGCAAAATTTAAACGAATTCCCCCCCCCCCCTAAATTTGTGACGACCTGTGAAATGTATTAGCAACAACAGCAGATGTCAATCAGAGCTGCAAGCTCTCAGAAAACTTAAATCGTTTTTTTGATTTAAATCGTTTTAATGACTTAAGTCATTTGGTAATAAGTCATTTCTTTAAAACTGACTTAAGACTTAAAATTTAAGTAATTTTCAAAATGATTTGTGACTTAAATATTTTTTTCAAAATAGAAAAAACTTAAGTCATTTATAAAATATCAGTACATACGATTTAAGTCAGATAGAAACAATTTAAGTCAAAAAAAGATTTAAGTCTTTTTGAAAAAGATTTAAGTCTTTTTAGAAAATATTTAAGTCAAATTTTTCATATATTTTTTTATAAATTTTTAACAGCGGCATTTTCTTTTGAACTGCCAGGGGTTCACGCGGCAGCATATCAAAAACTCCTTTAATTTCCTACCTACAATTGCTACCGCTAGTGGATAAAAAAACCGCCGCGGTAAAGTTAGCTTTTTGGAACCGTTTGACGGCTACATTAAAAAATGTCCTGTCTAAAATGAATTAAAAAAAGGGGATTTATAATTTTGTTATTTTGTTTGCTAACATTCGTCATGTTCGTGCGTAGTTGTTAAAATCGTTGTATTGACTTAAGGGTAAATATTTTGATTTAAATCACAATTTTTGATTCAAGTCATTTTATTGACAACTCTTAGATCACGATTTAAATATAAAATATAGACTTAAGTCATAAAAACGACTTACTAAAGGAATTAAGTCATTATATTGATTTAATAATTTGCGAAAATGACTTGACTTGAAAGAAAATGATTTAATTCAAAGACTTAATACTTAAATCATTTGAACTTTATCTTAGAATTGACTTAAGATTTAAATCATTTTGATTTTAGAATTGACTTAAGACTTAAGATTTAAGTCTTTTTAAAACTGACTTGTTGCAGCTCTGATGTCAATACAAATTTTACTGTTGCCCTATGTTTTCTTAACATTTTATTTTTTTATTACTTTTGTTATTGACTGTTTTAAAGCAAGCGCACCAGATATACAGGGTGTCCCAAAAGTCAACGATATCCTTTGAAGGACTAATAGGTCAGCTCATGACAAATCAGAATGACCTTAGTAAAAAATTATTAGTTTTTAAGATATTGGCATTTTTATGAATTTTGTGAAACTTGACACATGAAATCAGTTTTTCGAGTGCCACAACTACAACATTCTATATTCTTAGATTTTATTTTATTTTGCGTAACCCTGAATAGGAATGCTATTAATTAAAATTCAAAATTAAATTAATAGTAGATTTTGTAGCTGTGGCACTCCAAAAACTGATCTAAGGTGTCAAGTTTTACAAAATTCATAAAAATAACTATATCTCAAAAACTAACGATCATATTTTGATTTTCTGCTTAGTCATGAGTTGGTCTATCAGTCCTCCAAAGGATATCGTTGACTTTTGGGACACCCTGTATATAGAAGACCTTATAAGGTCTTCTTGTGTAAAAAGAAATAATTGTAAAGTCGATATACGCTGGAACGGATGTTAGTTATTTTGAAATACGACAGGAAAAGTTGTCAAATAAGAAAACACTGTTATCTGACAAGGATGTTTCTCGCATTGTGGCATTAATTGAAGATGATCAAAGTCGACGTTATGTGTCTAATATGAACAATTCATTCGAGGCGTTGACTTTAAAAGAGTGTATTTTTGCTGAATAAAAAAACAAAATGTTAAGAAAAGATTGGACTGCAGTATAATTTTAATGGACATGAGCTGTTATTGTTGATGCACCCCCAGGGTGTCACAAATTTCGGGAATAAACTTCATCTCACTTTTTCACCCTGTATATGCTCAAATTAAAATCTAAATAAAATTGTTTATCATAAGTTCGTAACTGAATAGTCAACCTACAATTAAAATCAGACGATCGGTTCGCGAGAAAATCAACATTAAAATTCTTATACTTGAAAAATGAAAACTTTGGTGATATGTTGAACAAATATTAGAAATATTCCCCAACACGAAAACAAAACACAAAGAGCTTAATAGTATATTATATATCAAGATTTATAAACGCCATTTTAGATACGAGTTTTATTAAGCACGAGCGAAGCTTGCAAGCGAGTGTTTAATAAAAACGAGTGTATAGATAAGTTTATAAAACGAGTTGCATACTATACTTTATCTACGACGACCACAAAGAAGAATTCAAATCCAATTTTATTTGTTAAACATTTGACATTTGTCAAATGTCAACGGAATTAACCTCACTCTTCTATAATTTATAATAAAGATAACTTCAGCCCGTGACTAAAATGCCCAAAAGCCACTATTGCTAACTTCAGACCGTGACTAAAACGCCATAAAGTCACAGCTCGTCAATGTAGGAGTAGATAAAGTACTTTAAGCACTTTGTGTTTTGTTTTGGTGTTGGGGAATATTTCTAATGTTTGATTAAAATTCTTGCCAATATTTGGTGGCCGGTTTTTGCCGGAGAGTGTACATGGTATTCGATTTTTTTCCAATGAAAAAAAGTTCCATATGGATACAAAACCGTACTTTGGCTAGAATTTGAAACCATTTGGTAACCAAAAATTAGAAACACTTTGGACATAAATCGGTAACACTACCGGATTTTCCACAATTAGTGGTTTTTGAATCTTTATTCGTGTCAGCATATTGCCCAAAATGTGTCATTCTTTGCTGCTTAGACAAATTAGATCTTCTAATACAGTTTGGACCTTCTAAAGAGCATTACGTTATATGTGATTGTACAGAAAGTAATATGGTCAAAAATATACATATTTTTGTTTAAAAAATGGTGAATGCGCCGGGATGAAATTATTGTTAGAATAATAATTTAATTTTGTATTAATTTTAGCTTTATAATGGCTATGGACTACTTTAAAGTTCGATATCCTGGAACCCCCGTTGTTTTTGATTTATCGTTGGTGTACATTTGCGTTGCTTTTCTCACCGTTTTGGCAAACAATCTTCTTTTGGAAACCATATCTTTAAACTCCAGGATCAACTTTGGTAAACAATATTTAAACCCTAGTAAGTTAGTTTAAAAAATAATGAAACAAACCTTTTTAGGGTACATAATGTCTTTTATCACTCTGATATTCGTTGTTATTTGCGAAGTATGGTGGGAGGCATTTGGAACAGCTACTTCTTACAGTGTTAATTTGTTTGCTGTTGCTGTGGTATCAATAGGGTGCACAGGTAATTTTTAATTTTAATTATTTATAAAAATGACAATATTTAAATTTCAGTGCAACAATCAAGTTTTTATGGGTACACAAGTATGCTTCCTCCAAAATACACCCAAGCTGTAATGGTAGGAGAAAGTGAGTAACAATTTTCAAAAATAGGAAAACTGGTTAATTTTTATATTTAGGTGCCTCAGGAGTTTTTACTTCAACCGTACGAGCCCTTACCAGGCTGTTGATTAATGAGCTACGCGGAAGCACCGTTTACTTTTTTACCGTATCAGCTTCAGCGGTTGCCACTTGTTTTGCGATGTATCACCTGATAAGAAGAACTGATTTTATACAATTTTACATGGCCTTATGTGAAAGAGCCAAAACAAGGATCACCTTGGAGCCTACAGAAGACGCTGGACTTGTACGCAAACGATAGCAAACATTGTATTATTTTATAGTTCATTCATTTTTAGATTGAGACAACCGATGTTCAGTATGGCGTTCTAAAAATTCAAACTAGTCCTCCACCTACAGGAAGTTTAAGTTTTGCTAATCCTGCCTATGAGCCTTCAGCTGCTACTGCTCCAACCTATAAAGTAGAAGATGTTGTTATAAGAGGTCGGCAGAGTATCAGCCAAAGCGGTGTTGGATTGGCATCAATAAAAAGTAAATAAATCTATCAGGAATTTTCTATAATAAAACTGTAATATACTTTGTTTTAGGAGGGTTACATGCAAGATGGGAGGTAACAAAATCCATTTACCCGTACATGATATCAATCTGCGTAGCATACTTTACCACTCTCTCGGTATATCCAGGCATTATATCAGAAGTTGTGAGTTGTAGTTTGGGATCTTGGATGCCTATTTACATGATGGAGATCTTTAACGGTGCAGATTTAATAGGAAAAATTTTGGCAAAAAACAATAAATCCTGGACTCAAAGAAGACTTATCACCTGGTCTTTCGGCAGATTGTTTTTAATACCGCTGATGGTATTGTGCATTTTACCAAAAGGACGACCTTTCTTTCACACCGAGGTTACACCTTTTATATTGTCATTAATTTTGGGGCTTAGTAACGGCATTCTGGGAAGCGTACCAATGATTCAAGCAGCTACTAAGGTCGAAGATAGATACAGAGAGCTTACAGGAAACATGATGACACTTTTGTACATGTTTGGTTTGGCGGCCGGTTCATTCGTGGCGTATTTCTTACAGAACATATTAAAGAATAGAGTTTCATCATATCCACCATGTAGTTCAGATATAACACACCTTAATACTACTATAAGTTCGCTGATAACTTCTACAACAACTGTTATTTCTTCTACGTCCACTATGATGACTACATTAACCTCAACGCTGTCCACTATTGTAGACAACTTTACACAAACTGAATCGTCTAGATAATTTAACAATAGCAACTGTTATATTTGGTGTTAATATCATTATTATTGGTTATATTTATTAGGTTTTTATTATATCAATGTGATAAACAACTTTGTTTTATTTCCCCATGCCCTATGATTCATAATCACCCCTTTGTCAACAAACAAAATAGTTAACGATCAAACTGTTACCTGGCTACCACAAACAAAACGTTTATTTTAATACAGTCATTTGTTACACAGTGATCTCGAATCATGTCTCACATAACATACGATGAAAAATTCAAAGAAACTCAAGAACTACTTACTTCAACCCTCCAACTTGAACCTGTACAAGCCGATAGAAGAGAACAGAGAAGCTTGCTTGCAAATTTATACGTAAGATACATAATGATAGCAAATAAACTAAACGTTTGCGTAGATCAAATGGTGCAGCCCCAAAAATGCATGCTTATCCGAAAGCTACTAGAAGCAACAATAGGTAGAATATTGGAGTTAAAAGAAGATTTAGTGGAAGCAGATATAAACGAGTACACTCACGTGGGGGATGTTATAGACTCGCTTAATATCACTCCTTTGGATACAGAGTTAAAAGTACCTACTTGTTTTAGAAAAGAAAACGCTGACGATTTGACTTATAAAAAGAATTTAATTGAAAGTATTTTGTCTAGATTTGGCTATCTGGATAAAGTGGAAGAAAAGGTGCCTATGACGGAGCAGCAGGCTATCTTGATTATACAGACGCACGAAAGGGCAAGACAAGGGCGACTAAGAGCGCAGTTTATGAAGGAAATACGATCCATTAAAGAAAAAGGAAAGCCAGCTCAGGAAGAAGCGGATAGCGAAGAAAAACAGGCTGGAATTGGATTAAACGCAGCTTTAAAAATACAGAAAATTTGGAGAGGGTATGTGACTCGAAGAGCCACGCGTAGGAGGAGGTTGCAAGAGATGTTGCTGATTGGGATGATTCCACCACCGAAAACAAAGAGTGCGGGGATAGAAAAGGATTTAAAAAATCAGGGTGTAAGAACATTGCTCAAAGAACAAAGGAAAATTGAATATAAGGAAGATGTGAAAAAGATTAGGGAAGATTTAGAGAAAAACCAACGAGGTGCTGTTTTAGAACAACTTAGCGATCAGGTTAGAGGTTGGTTACATGAATATAAGTCTCAAACTGGTAAAATTCCTGAGTACACTGGGTCTGAAAGGACGGGTTCCAGAAACCTTATGAGTAGACAAGGTACTGATAGTGAACTAAGCAAATCAACACAACTATCCAAGGATTCAAAATCTAAAAAGGATAAAGGAGGCAAATCAAAGGATAAAGCCGACGAGGAAGAGGAGCTCTGCAGTAGGGCTATAGTCTCAACTTTTGTTCCGGAGTTAAATTTAAGAAAGGAAGAATACGATGATACATGGAAAATTAAGGACGAAAAAGAAAATTTGAGGCAATTTTCTTACAAGGATATTATCGAACACGAACAAATGACCGAGATGGAAAACGAATTGAGGAAAGTTGTCGATGAAATGATGAGAGCAGAATTGCAGTTACTCCAGGTAAACAAATTAATAAAAAATCGATGACTTTCTGCCCAAGTATCGCAAGCAACATAACTCAAATTTCGGGAATTGAAACCATTTTTTGTTTTAAAGTCTGTTTTAAACCATATATAACCTATAGGTTTTATAACAAGTAAAAAGCTTATAATTATAGCTATTCATTTGTTATAAAACCTATAGGTTATATATGGTTTAAAACAGACTTTAAAACAAAAAATGTTTTCAATTCCCGAAATTTGAGTTATGTTGCTTGCGATACTTGGGGAGAAAGTCATCGATATTTGTTTAGTACAAAAGAAATTTTGTTTTAGGAAGCTTTCGATAAAGACAGAGGTCACAAAGGAAAAAAGAAGTCAAGTAAAAAATCAAGGAGAGGTGGCAAAAAGAGTAAGAAGAAGAAGGAAAAGGATTTAACACCTGATAGAACCACAGAGTCTCTATTTGAAGAACTCGTTGCTAATGGAATTATTAAAAAGTATAATAAAAAGGGTTGCCAGGTGCGAGGGGTAAACCACTTTAGAATCAACGAGACAACGTTTAGCGTTATATAGACGTTGTGCTCTGATTTTTCCTTTTTTGACGCTTATCGATTCATGTTGATTTATTACAAATTTCCCTTAGCAACACGTGATTTTGTGATTTTTTCATTGCCCGATAATTCGTATGCGATTTTTAATTAAAAAAAAAATAGTATTTTACCCCTCGGCCAGGTCTCCTGGGTGTCCAGTTTAATCAGTGTGCCTTCTTAGGGTTTTAAAGATATCTGTCGTGTTTATTTTGCAAATTATGTGTTAGGTCATGCATATGCTTTAGGATACTTATCAATTTTTGCGGATGGCCACTTCCCCTCCTGTTTGACCTCTTTTGTTTGTCTAGTGAAAAGCGTCCAATGACAGGTGGTATACCTATAGGACCAGAAGATGAAACTTGTCACTTAACTCTTTCTTATCACTTAACACTTCACTCTTTATTGTTTGTTTCACTATAATTGTTTTGAACTTTTAAAAAATTATTATTAATTGTTGGTTTTAAACTTTAAACTTTTACGTTTTAAGAGCTCTCGCCTTGTCAAGAGCTGGAACCTGACTGAATATAGTCAATTCTATATTATATGGAAAATTGACTATACCTTAAAAACTGTTCTTCTTGTATAACTTTTGACATTTTCGAATTCAGCGAACAATTTTACATAGAAATTGACTACTAAATGCTGTTGACAAGAACTATTAGTGGCTGCTATAACAATTAGTCATTTTTAACTAATTCATTTTAAGAGAGCGACGTTGTTACATAACATTTTAAAATTAAATTATATAAGAAAACACCGTTTTTACAATGATTTTTTCAAGTACAATTTCTACTAGGCTAGCATATCTAGCTTAAGTTTATGTTTGTTTTAGATATCCACAAGTATTTTTAAGCGATTTTATGGGAGAAAAATCATATTTCCATCCTGTAGTTTATAATAAAGATAAAGATCCACCCATTGATTTAGGAGATTTAAGGCAAATCGTCAATGAATATTGCATATTACCACTATTAACACCACAATTGCATCAATCTACGCCCCATATTAAATCTGTACTTTTGGCTGGTAATAAAGTTTAAATTAAATTGATATTAAAATATATAATGACTTATTACAGGTCCAAAAGGAAGCGGTAAAGATATGTTGGTCCACGCAATATGCAATGAGGCTGGAGCAATGCTTTTTGACTTAACACCTTCAAATATTGTTGGAAAATATCCAGGAAAATCTGGACTAATAATGCTCATCCATTTGGTTGTCAAAGTTTCCAGATTATTGCAGCCCTCAGTGATATACATGGACAATGCTGAAAGACCCTTCGTCAAGAAAATACCAAAAACAGACAAATCTGACCCGAAAAGATTAAAGAAAGATTTGCCAAAGATCGTAAAAAGTATTCAAATAAATTATTTGTATGATACAAATTTTATCATCTTTATAATAAAAAATAATTTAATTTTAGATTTTTGCCAGGAAGATAGAGTAATATTAATAGGGACGACAAATTGTCCTTGGGAAAGCGACCAAAAATTATTACAGCAAGTATATCAAAAAATCATAAGAATACCACGACCAAACTATTCGTCCAGATATTTTGTGTGGAAAACATTATTGGACCAATATCAAGCGGTTGGTTGGCAATTCGATACAGGAGTTATGGCAAAAATATCGGATGGATACACAGTTGGTAAAAAATATGTTTGCGTTAATTAAGCAAAACAAATAATATTTTGTTTTAGGTTCTATTATGACCACAGTAAAGGAAGTAATGACAGTCAAGAGAACTCTGCAATTAAGGATTCATCCTTTAAGTCCTTTGGAGTTGGTGAACTCGCTTTGCCAGAGAACTCCGGTATACAAAGAGGAAGAAGAAGCATCTGAACTTTGGTGGAACAAAGTTCCGATAGTGAAAAGAAGAAATCGCACTGTTGAAATGTTATTAGTAGAAGAAGCTGAATTGTTGGCCAAACAAGCCAATGCCAAAAAGAAATAATTAATTTTTTTTTACGTATTACGTTAAACATGAACAACGTAATATTTTTGTTTATTTTACCCAATGACGCATTTAAGATAATATTTTTGCATTTTAGGCATTCAAATTATCATTACGTACTAATTACAAATAAAATTAATATAATAATGGACTTTGATTTTATAAAACCCGAAAATCTTTCAAACATTAATGCTTCAAATGCTTCAAATTTTGTATATTTTCGTATTTACTTAATCAGTTGATATATTCGTTGCAATGATTTTATTGACGTCATAATATTAATTAGTTATTAATATTATATATAATAATAGTATATGACAAGCCAGAGTGGGAAGTTTGGGGGTTTAAACCCAGTCTCAAATTTAAAAAAAATTATACTTATCAAAATTTACCCAAAAAATCGTAACTGTTAAAACAAAACAAATAACCACTAAATAAACAAGTAAACAACCATCAGTTAAATACTGTTAACTTCAAAGACATCTATTATTAATATACTAACGTAATTATGTTTGTAATGTACATAATAAAATTCTATATTCATTTTTTTACACGAAACAAACTGTTTGTTTCGTCTGCAGAAGAGCTGGTATATTTTATTCGTATTCAGGAAAAACAGCTGACGTCAGCCGAAGAGCTTTTTGCTAATAGCCAATTTTCAGTTTTTTATGAAATTAAAAAAATCGCTTGGTTTTCTTATCATTTAAACTGAATTATCAACAATTATCAATACAAGAGATATGAACTATTCTGACATTTTCTTAAAAGATGTTGAATAAAGAAGATGTATAAATTATAATTTAAATAAATATTTAATAACATGAGTTGGAACAACTTGCTTACAACGTAAAAAGTCAATAAAATTAAAAAATGTTATATAATTTTTGACAATTTTGCAATTTTTGTAAATGCGAAAATAAACGTGAAGATTAAATAAGTTTTTAAGTCTAAATATATCAAAATGTTCGTTATTAAATTCGGGGTTATCTCATACAGTTGTATTGATTTTAGACGTTAAAGTTCGACGAAAATGAGGTTTTTGTTAGATTTGCTTCTTGAACTTTTCGACCATATCTTTTAAATAAATGAGTCAAACAGCCTGGGCTTAAAATTTGCGCAATATATTATTCTTCAAGAAAAAGTAAGAATTGAATGATGACAAAACCAAGCGATTTTTTTTGCAAAGATAAACGTTTTAAAGATAGACTACAAAAATACCATTAAAATATATAAAAAATAGTTTTTATGTACAACTTTTAAAAAATCTGTTTTTTTTAATAATTTGATTTGAGTAGGGGGCAAAAGGTTTATCACCATATAAATAATAAAAAAAGTTTTAAAGATAGCAGTTTTTTGCAAAGATAAAAGTATTAAAGATACACTACAAAAATACCATTGAAATTTATAAAAAAATAGTTTTTATGTACAATTTTTCTGATTTTTTTAATACTTACTTGCTCAGTAGGGGGCAAAAGGTTTATCACCATATAAAAATTTCAAATAAAAATTATCTTTGCATTATCAATCCCCTAATATTGGGCGGTATTCCAAATAAAAATTTCGAAATTTTCATTTTAATTTTTTTTCAAATTTTTAAGCCCTGGTAGGGGGCAAAAGACGTCACAAAAACAAGAAACTGTATATAGAAATTATTTTTGTTTGGCGAAAAGGCAATTTTTTTACCCTATTTCAAATCCAATTTCTAGTTTTTTTTATTTTCGGCCCACCCTAATGTCCATTATGTTTTATATATGCTGTAAACTGTTTGATCAATACTTATTATTATAATTATAGGTATGTAATAGAAATGTAACGAATGTCGATTTTCACACTCGCGAATGCAAATGTCATCTTTTCAAACTTGCCTACATTTTCTGCGACCGTGATAGGCAACTAAATGCACTCTTAAACATGTTAATCACACCTGCTATTGACTATTCTCCTTCAGGTTTTATGTTAATTAAAAAAAATATTGATTTATTTGATTTCAAAGGATTTATGTCATTATTGATGTCAAATAAATAATAAAACTGTTGTTTTTTTGTCCTATGTTCGCAAAAATATTCGCGAATATACGTATCAAAATTTATAATTTTTCTTTTTACTTGGTAATTTAAGCTAAAAAGTCGGAAACACATAAGATAAAATAATCCACATCTAATAGCAGTTGTTATAACCTTGATTTGGTTAAAATTTTATATAATGGTAACGTAACAGCTGTACACTAGTGTACTTTTTTAAAAACCTGGTAGCATGAAGAAATACAAAAAAATCATGCTTCTAGGATTTTAGAAAAGTACTAAAAAGTTAATGATTTTTGACATACACATACATACATTTTGCAGTATCAACGACGAAATGTATTTTGAATCAAAAACAATGTTGAAGTTCATTATCAGGCTCAGAATATTCCATATGACATTGACTAAACTAAAGCAATGATACAAGAATGACCGGACACGATTATTTACGTGTACATGTAATCTACGATGTATTTTATCTGCATGATGATTCAATAAAAATGTTTCGAAAAATGCATTAAAAAACAATATTATCCAGAGATTTTACTAAAGAAACAAAAAACCTAAAACCACTTTTTTAATGAAAAAATCTTTTTAACTTAAAAATAGTCACAGAACTCATTATGCTTGTTGGGCATTGGTAATACTTAAATAATAATTTGTAAAATAAATTGTTTTGTTTTGATTAAAATAGCAACAATTAAATGACCATGCAAATTCTATGAAAAACTGCTTTACTTAACTTTAACTTTAAAAATTGTATATAGATATTTGTGTAAGTAGGTGGGTCAGTGTTTGTCATCGGAAGTTAATTATTTTTTCCTAAGGTTTCCCGCCCTTGAAACAAATAAAAACAAAGACAATGCAGAAAAAATTCAATACATTCAGATGCGCGGAATTTTTGTTTAATGTTTGCGTTGCCTTATGATGGTAAATATTTATTATAAACGTGTGAATTCGCGGTAACAAGTGTAAATAATATAAACTATTTATAATAAAACAATACTTATGTTTGTTAACATATTTAAAGTGAAAACCATAGCTGGAATTAAATACTTAGGTAGGATTTAATTTTTTATAATAAACCACATTTTTTAATACTTAAAAAAAGTAGAATTCATATGAAAACTGTATTTTAAATAGTTTTAAATTATTTTGTAACAAACTAGGTATTATTTTATATCTTTTAAAATTTTATTTATTTCTTTAATTTTTTTGGGCACATCAAAAATTGATATAATATATTATTTACTGTTTATAAAGTTTATCAGTTTATTCGAGTCAACATTAAAAGCAAAATAATTTCTATTTTCTCCATATAATATGATTACATAAGACAGTGTAATTGAACGTTAGTACAAATTTGGAGGTCATTTGATTCCAACTAAGAAATTTGATAAATTAATTGGAAGGTCAAGATTCGATATATCGCGAAATGATTTAATTTCAAAGTTTCAAAAATTTAAATATTCTGATAAAAAAAATTGGCAGTTTAAATATAAAGTAGGTACCTACATAAATTTTTTATGGACAAAAATGAAATATTTTACTTTACATAATATTTATTAGGGATAAATTTTATCCAATAAAACCTTACATTATTTTAATACAGGGTCAACTATTGCTTTAGTCTTATCACAGGTAAATGATACTGTAATAGCATATCTAGTGCCAACTGATACCCTTTCAACAAAATGAGGATTTTCAGCTCCGGATGTAAACATGGAAACCCTACCTTTCCTAGGCTCTACTGTGGTATTTTTGTGCGTTTTTTTCTCGTTCTCCAAGAAAAAGAACCTTCCACCTTTAAAATCCACCTCGTAATCGTTTAAGTAAACCAAAGTTGTGTAATGGAATGATTCATAGGTTTCCTTAAACAATAGACAATAATTTAAAATATATTATATGTGATACTTGGTAAAATCAAAAGAATTTATGCTTATTCAATAAAAAGTATGTAAAAATTAAATTGTAAAAATAAGGCTCTATAAAACTTTTTCTGTTGATTTTCTCATTTCACATTACATTATAAATTAAACCTACTTTGTCAACATGTTCATGCCAGTACTCATCATGAGGTGTTTTGGGATCCTTATTATTTAACCTTGAGAAGAATGTTGGATGAGTTAGATGCAAGCTTTCAGGGTTAACGTTGAAGAAACTGGCTACAGCTTCCTGAATTTTTTTCCTGACTATTTTGTAAATAGCCAACTCAGCTGCAGATACGACCTTCTTGCCGCTTTCCAAAGAATAAACATTTATAAATTTATCCCCATGTGATAGGGCTCCAGAATGCAAGTCCAAAATTGTGGCCCCACCATGTGAACCTCCCAAAGACATAGCTAAAAATAACAATTAAAACTTGTACTTTGGAAGGTAATACCCAAAGAGGACAAAAATTCTTAGAAAGTTTATAATTTTGCTCAATTTTAAAGGACAGGTATGAAGTCAAATACACAGATTATAAATATAAATATTATAAATATGCTCAAAAATTTATTGTACTGGTAAAAGTTTATTATACAGTTTGTTTTTTGTTTATTCGAAATTTAATGTAAAAAATTTGGGGATTTAGTTGGCTAATACTAGGGACCCTAAATTTATAATTCTACATTTAGTAAAACAAACTAATTTAGTGAAGAATATAATTGTGGTTTTGTTATATGTTTATAAATTTTAAAATGTCAAATAAGTTGCTATAGCAAAATATAAATATAAACAATTAAATAACTTTACCTTTTATGACTCTACCATAGATAACAAAGCCTCTACGGCATTCCCAGCGTAGAAATATAAATTTCTTTTTGGATAATACTATGCAGTTTGTCCTTTTAAAAGGGAATGCAAAAATTTATAGGAAATAATAAAAAAAAAATTGTAAATGTTTAAATTTTGTCCAATTGTAAATGGGTCACTAAATGTAAATACTTGTAGCTTGAATAAGGATAATATTACTCCAAAATATCTTTTATCCGGTTAATCTTTTCCACATCAGTGGCATTGGGAATTAATTCATCAAAATGCTGTTTTGTTTTTAAAATTTATTTTTGTTTATAATTTGTTATCTGGCATTGTTTATTATAATTCTGACAATTAAATGTCAAGTATTGGACAGGAGTACCAATTTTAAATAATAAAAATACCACAGTATATTGATAAATAGTACCAACACCAAACAAACAACACATAGAAGTGCCACTCCTAAATAAACGCGAAAACACCCTAGTATATTATACAGGGTGTCCCATAATTAGCGTGCTTTTTAACAGCAGATTCTACGTACAAAAATAAGACAAAAGTTCCTATAAACATAGGCTGACAAATTCTTTCTAAGGGAGCTACAGCCCCTGAAAGAAGAGCCCCTGAAAAAGGTTATTATTTAATATATGGGTCAGAATTTCTCAAACGGGCCACCTGAATTAGGTCAAAATTAGTTTTTGTTTGTAGATACATTTTTTTGATAGTATTTTACATCACTAACACAAATCCTAAAGGATTTTGTAAAAAAAAAAATTTCAATTGACATATTCATGATATTAAAAGTCAAAGTTTTTAATAATTAAAAAATAAAAAAATCCATTATGGCTGAACTAATTATCCGATTCCAACGATATAACTAGCGTTGGAATCTTGTTTTGACATAGATTCTTTGTTATTTTTTTCAATTGTCCTATTTTCATTTAGGTCGATTTTTTTTTGTTTTTTTTATACCAAATTCGGAAATAATTGCCTTCTGCGCCAGCTATCGACTCGAGAAAAAAAACACATATACTCCAATCATTTCTCGAAATTATGCTGCTGAGAAAAAAAATGGCACAAATACACAATGGGACAAATACAAATAAACAACCATGCATACCCATAACCATGGTTATGGGTATGCATACCCACGTGAGTTTCGATCGGGCGCGAATATTAGTTCAAAATCATGTTTGTTCTCATACTGTATGAGATCACGTATGATTTTCAATATGATTCTAAGTTCCAAAGCACGCCTGATTTCATACTGAGGTCAGTATGAGATCACATATGATTTTCAGTATAATTCTAAGTTTCAAAGCACGCCTGATTTCATACTGGAGTCTGTATGAGATCACATATGATTTTCAGTATAATTTTAAGTTCTAACTCAACCATAGAGGAATGGCGCCAGGTAAATTGCGCCAGATTTAAGAAATTTTTTTTTTTGTAAATACCTAAATTTTTAATCAAAAAATTTTGGTATTTTATTTTAATTTTTTTTAGTATGATTTCATTCTGACAACAGTATGATTTCAAAGCCAACGTCAGCGGGACCAAAAATCTCGACTGATTTTATTTATTCTTTAAAGTTTTCTTTCTACCGGTTTCTACCGGTCTCTTTACAAAATCACATCTGATTTCATTCTGACATCAGTATGATTTCAAAGCCAACGTCAGCAGTAACAAAAATCACATCTGATTTCAGTCTGACTTCATATTGCTGACATTCGCGTATGCGCTACTGACGTCAGATTCTCGACAGACGTGACGAACGATTTTCACGTCTGATTTTATTCTGACGTCAATATGAAATCATAAATGCTAGCTGGGATAAAGTATATAAAAACACTTTCATTCACAATTCTATTCTACTATCTACGTTTTTATAGTTTTGCATACGAATTTATAATTTCTCAGACTTGGGTAAAATGTATTTAAGGTTATGTTCGTATTATTCAAAATATACAGGGTGATTCAGACTTGTAGCAAAGATTAAATATACTATATTTATGCCCGTATGCACCGTATTGACTTAATCTCGATTAGGAGTTTAATCTCGCTTAGTTCAAAAATTTATCATGCACCGCGCGAAAAATGTAGTTTAAGTGTTCGATTACGAGATCCACCGGCGAGGTAGGTTTAATCGCAGGATTAACTGATTTTCTAACCAAATTTTTAGTTTCAAACGTCAAAAGTAGATTTCAAAAACTAGTAATAGTAGAAATAGTAAAAAATATAATTAAATAATGGATTTAGAAGAACTACTGTATTTGTAGAAGATGATCAAGATATTCTGGACATAATTAATTTTGTATTTCCGCGACAAAATTATTAAAGGAGCGAATATTCTGACACCATGGAAAATTTTTCGTTTTTTCGCCGATTTCGATTGACATTACTACCCACCGTTCTAAACTGTCTTAATGCAATTGAAAATTGAAGCCCAGTTCTGTTAGTTTTTTTTTGTCTTCCAATATTTTAGAATACCTCATAACAATCATCATTAGATTTTCTTTTTCCGCTTGTGAAATTGAATATTGAAGCCCAGTTCTGTTAGTTTTTTTTGTCTTCCAATATTTTAGAATACCTCATAACAATCATCATTAGATTTTCTTTTTCCGCTGGTGAAAAGTTAGGAATTCTGGTCTCCCATTTTATAGACAGACGAAGGATGATCCAAAAAAAATTTCCATACAAAAGTTTTTGTATATTAGGCATTTAAATTTTAGTTTGTCAGCATAGTTTGTTTTTCTATGGTTGTCAATCGATTTAAATTTACGATTGACAGTTTTTTGTGGTTTTTTGACAAACAAAACAGCTTTGCCAAATCGCCAATCCAGATTGCACAATCCGCATTATGATGGAGAAAGATTAACATAATCGCGATTTGCTAACTAGGCTTAGCGAGGGGTCAACCACTGTCGGCAATACGTGTACAAATTTTATGCAGTACAAAGGCAGTACAAAGGCAGTGACGGCAATACTTCGACAGTATCGGCAGTATGCAGCTGTAAATAGGCAATATAGGCAGTACGGGAGCAGTACTTTGGCAGTACATGCAGTACTTCGGCAGTACATGGGCAGTATCGGCAGTAATTCGGTAATATTCAGCATTTAAGTCTCACCTAACGTACTCTCTTAAAATGAATTAGTCAAAAATAACTAATTATAAGTTATATTTGACAAATTGTCATAGCGAAAAAGCAGTCACTAATAATTAGTCAAATTCTACTGAATAAAATAGTCAAATTAGTAGATTTAAATTTAAAAAAAGTTTTGACCCAGCCGGGTATTGACCTCAGGTCTGTCACTTGTCAAGCTTGTCAAGTTGTTGTCATAACCAATGTGGCTATTAGCCGCTCTTATAAAAATTATATACCTAATATTTTAAAGTTGAATATATTATTTGTGTTGCTGTTTTGAGCTAAACTTTTTGCATCTTTATTTGATTTTATGGGCCATTTAACCATGGAGCCTATAGATATGCATTTAATTAAAATAATACTTTGTTGTTGGCCGCAAACGATTAAAGAAATTAATTACTTTTAACTCTCAGAAATAGTCAAAGATGTTGACTAATCTTAAATTAGTCAAACTTTAACTATTTACGTAGTGAAAAATAACTATTTAAAAGTGAAAACGACTATTTTATTAGTAAAAATGCTGGTACTAATTCAAATAGTAGAATTTTGGCTATTTAATTGGTATCTTCCGATGCTCGTTCCGAGGTATTAAAATTAAAATTTTGCAAACTTATTTGTGTGTTTTTGCTTATTAGTTTAACTGTCTGTGGTTGTTTGGTAAGTATTGTAAACAATTAGAATATATAATAACATTATATATTTTAAGGTTTTAAAGTGTAAAAAAAGGAACAATAAATTAAATTCTTAAAATTCGGATGTAAAACTATGGACAGTGTGTGGGCAGTAAAGGCAATGTTGAAAGTAACTAGGCAGTAAGTAGGCAGTATAGGCAGTAAGAGCAATAAGTAGGCAGTATAAGCAGTAAGTAGGCAGTAAAGGCAGTATAAACAATATAAGCAGCATAGGCAGTAAGTAGGCAGTAAAGGCAGTAATTGGCAGTATAGGCAGTTCGGCAATACGTGTACAAATATCTGGCTAGTGGTTGACCCCTCGAGGCTTAGGCTTTAAAACGGCGCATACGGGCATTAATCTTTGCTTGTGGTGACAAAAGCTCAGGGGAAATTCCTCTTATCAAAATATGAAAAAAGTTCCTATAAACACGTGTCCGAAAATGCTTCATTATCGAGATACAGGGTGTTTCGTTTTTTATTTATAGCTTAAAAACGCTTTGGCCGATTTTCTTAAAATTTATTAAATAATAAATGATTCAGATAATAAAAAATCACGTAAAGTTCCTCTAGCTTAAAAATTAACCATGAGTTTTAATTTCCCAAGTGTCAACATTTTTAGAAATATTGAGGGCCCCCACCAAATGTCGGCCCCAGGGCCTCAAAACTCTTAATCCGGCCCTGGGAGTAGGGGCTAACTTTTTTGTATGTGTCTCGTGCTAGGATATGATATCAGATTATGAAATTTCGGAGTTTTACACACAAAAAAGGTCCTCTTGTTAAACTTTGATATTATCCACTGTTTTCGCTTAAAATCGATTTAAAAATTACCTTACATAGCATAAAAGATTAATTCACAAGAGAAAAAGAATCAGCGTAGGCCATGGAACACAGCTGAAGCTGTGTTAGCATGCCATCTTTAGGAAAAAATATTTCAGACAGGTAACAGTTCCATGTTATATGTGACAGGGTGTTTTAAAATTGTCCATGACCTACTCTGAATCTTTTTCTCTAGTTGTGATTTCATTATGAATTTTTATGCTATGTAAGGTAATTCTTAAATCGATTTTAAGTAAAAACGGTGCATGCTATCGAAGTTCATCAAGAGGACCTTTTTTATGTGTAAAACTCTGACATTTTATGATCGAATATCAAATCATAGCACAAGATCCGTACAAAAAAGTTAGGGTAGTTTTACCTCACTCCCTATCTATCTGACCCACCCCTTATGAAAATTTTGAATTTGTTATTATTCCAACTTATTGGCCATAAAAAGTTTGATTATATTCCAAAATTTTTAACGGTTTTTGGATATTAAATAAAAACCATCTTCAGGGGCTTCTCTTTCAGCGGCTGTAGCTCCCTTGGGAAACATTTCTTGACCTATTTTTATAGGAATTTATTTTCTTATTTTTGTATGTAGAACCTGCTGTTAAAGTATTGCACGCTAATTATTGGACATATACTAGGGTGTTTATACTGTATATAATATATAATGTAATATTTACCAACAAATTATTATTATAATATAATAATTATAATCAATGGCAGAACACCTGATTACACTCTAGGTAAATTTTTAACTTTTGAAATATCACGGACACGTAAACATAATTTTTGGTCGTAGATTCCAAATCCGTGCTCGGTTTTGCTGTATCAGGTCTAAAAAAGTGTTTCCTATTGGAAATCCGATCCGGGAACACACTGTATACTGGTATATTATAATTTGTAAAATAATAAATTTCACCTCTGGTGCCAACATTTCTATGCTTTTTATTTCATTTAATATAATATCCTCAATTATACTCAATAAAAAAAATCCAGCGAATAAACATTTCAAATTTCCTAAACCAAGAACGGATTTGTAATCTACGACCAAAAATTAAGTTTATGTGTCCAAGCGTTTAGCTGTAATATTTTCACCTCCCTACAGTGTTATTTAAGTAATACTCCGGTTTTTGAAATCACTTGAATACTCAGTATTCTGTTATTGAAATAAACCGGTTATTTCCAACACAAAATTTCTTGTGTACTTGAATTGAATATAGTTACAAATTGTGATTATTTTAGAATTATTTTCTCACTAGATAATATTTGTCATACTTCTAAAGGGATTAACCTAACATTTTCGGTAAAGAGATAAGTATTTTATACAAATTTTATTTAAATTAAAAGGGAATTTTAGAAATTATGTTTTATATATCTCCAAAACCAAGCAATATTTACCTTTTTGAGCTAATCTGAGCAAAGTCTCTGCCTCTGTAGCAGTAACAATTTGATCAGAAATAAATCTGCCACATTTTCTTGGTGCACATCCTTTGTATTCCCTTATTTCTTTTAAGAATTCTTTGTCGCAGTCGATCATTTGATATCTTTTATCATAAAGCTGTTTTTGTTTGGCCAAAATTTGATCAGATTCATTTTTACTTGTCCACCAAACATACAATAAAACTCCCAATATCATAATACTTCTACTCCACATTCGTTGTGAACTTAGCTTAGGCATAGGCCCATATCTACTGTTAAAAGAAATATACTTTATAATTGATCTCATTTTATGTATTAAATAATAGACAAAGTTGCACATATAATATTACTTACTATTTTGGCTTTTCCTCGGTGGAATTATCAACTTTTTCTTCACTTTTGTTCTCATTTTTAATAGATTTTTCAGTGTTACGCTTTTTAACGCTCGAACTCGGCATGTTTGACTAACTTTAAAACTAGAACAATGATTTAAACTTAAGTATTTACTTCCGTCGAATATTTAATTGAATTTATTTGTGCTCCATTTCAAATTAATTGTAATTATATTACCCCTTACGTATTTAATAACCATAGGTTAATAACAAACATTCATGACATTCAAACGTCAAATTCAAGCCTTCTTCTTCTTCCCTTGCGGCATCAGGCTAGGCAACGTAACGAATGTTCGCGGCAAAGTTTTAAATTTACTTTTTCTACAACCGTTAAATTTTTTAAATTACAATGCGTTTGAAAATTGTCACATTCGTTTTGTTTACCTTAGAAGGCAAATGTATTTTTTACCTTGAAGACGTGCGCAAAATCAATAAATAACCAAATAAATTTTTTTTGGTTGTAAAAAATTCCACATGGGATTTCTTAAAATTTTATTGAGTTATTCTCTGCATCAAAATAATGAATCGCTGAAAATTTGAGCTATCAATTAAGTTTTCGTAATAATAATTTTTTAAATTTTGACGATATTTTTTTTGGATGTACCTAAATAATGCTTTATAAAAATACAAACAGTACCTACCTACTGTATTTTGTAATAAGTTCTTAGCCTCGACTACCTAAACGAAATCATAAAATTAAAAAAATTGCTTGGTTTAGTTTAAAACCAAGCGATTTTTTCAGTTTAATAAAAAAACGAAAATTGGCTAATTAGCAAAAGATTCTTGGGCTGAAATCCTCTTTTTTCGCATTTTTCGAAGTTTTTAGATGCCCTGAACACGAAAAAAAACATCTCCCTGTCGAAAATGACCCATAGAAACCAATAAGAGAATGAAATGGTATGTACCGGACTGAATATGTGTATTGGTACTGGTTTTTATTGGGTTCTATAGGTCGCCAAACGGTTTTAGGGCTAAATGGGAATTACCCAATCAAACCAATTCAAGACAATTATGTTTTCCAATTGATACCAATTCACCAGATTCAAACCTATAAGACACAATACATTACAACATAAATTCCCATTGGTTTCTATTGTTCTTAAAGGGGCATTTTCGGCAGGGCTCAGCTCTGTTGAAAAATCCTTGTAAGACAAACTGTTTATTTAAGGTGACCAAATTTCTAAAATGAAAAACCAGGACACAACATGCCCCTCCTCGCCCTTCCAAAAATTATGTAATAAATGTTTATTATTTGAAAAACAGATGTGCTATAGCACACAACGTCTTGAAGATGTCTTTTGTATGTCTGTATTATGCCTGAACGTCTGAAGATCTAAAAAAGACGTCTAAAAGATGTCTTTTGATAGACGTCTTAAAGATATCTTCATTTAATGTCCTAAAGACATCTTATAAACGCCTGATAACGCCGCTTATTATTTTTTTTCATTTTTTTGGTAAAATATCAACCACTTAAGACAGCAAACAAAGTCTTGAAGATCTAAGATCTAAAAAAGACGTCTGAAAGACGTCTTTTGATAGACGTCTTAAAGATATCTTTATTTAATGTTCTCAAGACATCTTATAAATGCCTGATACCGCGGTTTTCTTTATAATTTTTTTGATAAAATAGTAAATGTTGACAAATCAAAATCAAAATTATATCCCATAATCAGCGACTTCATTGTAATAGAAATAACTTTAATGTAGGATTTTGAGTTTTGACAACAATTATGGGTAGGGTAACTGAATAAATATATATCTGACATTTTTGTTGATTGGTTATTTTTCCTACAATTAATAATATCCATTTTATAATAAACCATTATAAACTAACATGTTTTTTAAAAATTAAGTATTAAGACAAAATAACCTTAAAATAACCCAACGAACGTTTTTAAATTAAATTACCCGCACATTTCCCATAATGCAATGAAATCATAAGTCACGCCATGAGATCCTTATGCTTTCCTTTTCTATTTCACCAAGCGCTGATATGTCTGCCTCTTTTCAATTCTTAAATAACTCGTACCCACAATCCAATCGTCGCCTTCAGGAGAAAATCACGTAACTCCACATTTTCATTAAAATGGTATTTTAGTGGCATCTGTTAGATAAAACTGTAACTAATTTATATGCAAGTTACAGATGTCCTAAAATAAACCGTTAATTTTAAATTTAGAAAAAGAAATATACGTATCTCCAATCGTGGAGGAGCGTCCAGGGAATAATGCCTAACTCCAATATACAAATCAGTGCCATTGACAAGTATAAGTTATTGCCTAGTTATTTTTTCTGTATGTAAGTATGAAAGATTGTATAGTGTGTAAATTTAAGGTACCATGAATAATTTAAGGTTACTTTTATTAACATAAAGTACATATTGGAGATACGTAATTTTCCATTAAACAATTTTTTGGCGGTAATGTGGAGATACACCAATACACCTTTAATATGTTTTTCTTTCCTCCTGTAAAATTTTACAACATGGAGTTAAGCAATTTTCTCCTGAAGGCGACGCAATGTGGATTGTGCTCGTAGTACGAGCCTTGTACCTAACTATAAAGCTGGATTTATAGTTTTAAAGGTAACGGTAGAGGCAGCGGTAAAGGTAGAGGTAAAGGTAGCGGTAACGGTAGCCGAGTTCGGCATTGAATATTGTACGAAACAATTTATAGTTGTCAGAGGTAGCGGTAAGAGAGGTAGAGGCAAGAAGGTAGCGGCAAGAGATGACCATCTTTCAAATTTTCTTACCTCAACCGCTACTCCAGCCAATATTTGTTATATGCAGCCAATCACACGGCAATTTTCAGTTGGCAGCCTCGCCTTGTAAGTTTAGTTTTTATGTGAGGGGCAACCAGACTTGATAATTTGTCAAAAATGGTCACCGTCATTTGTGTATTTAAAGAACTACTCTTTATCGGTCAATTTTATTTTATTTTAATACTGGAAATGGCGTTTCTTAGCTCGTTCCCGATTTAATTCCCTCGTTTTATAGCGACGTACTTGACGACCCCCATAACGTACTTGAAACCCTGCAATACAACATAATATATATTGTATAATATATTGTATATATAACATATTGTGTTGCAGGGTTTATTATATAATATTTCGCACAACGCCATATGGCCCAGAAGCACAGCATTGTCCTCGCAATTCATGTTTTTATAGAAAACTTAACCTTTTGCTATTAAATTTTAGAAACAAAATTACAATCTGCATTAAAGTACGCATGCGCCGTCAGTACCGCTACCGCTACTTTCTGAACTATAAATTGCAGAAAGTGATACCGCTACCGCTACCTTTACCTCTACCTTTACCGCTGCCTCTACCGTTACCTTTAAAACTATAAATCCAGCTTAAATGCAGATTGCAAACATCAGACGCCATTTTTGCCGCTTACGTCAAATTTGGTTAAATAGCTAATCGTGGCGGTTTTTCGTTCTCGTTCGACGTTTAACTTAAGTGACAAGTAAAAGCAGTGTGCAGTGTTGTAATAACACTGTTTTTGGATTGTTTTTGTGAATTTGCTGTGGTTTAATATACTGTAGAGGGAAAATTATTCAGGTAATTTTAAAAATTTTTCTTGTGTGCTTAAAATGAAGCGTACATATCTCAATAAATATTATATGCGTGCAAAGAGGGCCGCCAATTTAAAAAGACCCTCACTAGAAGATATAGAAAAGCATGTTTTACATTCTCCCGCCATAGTGTCTAACGGTGAGTGCTGCACTTTCACTATACCTAGTGACTCGCCGTCTGATGTTGAGCAGCGAGTTGAGCAGGATTCTTCCAACATTTTTATTCCAAATATCGAAGGAACCTCAAAAGGTCTAGGAAAAGACACCAAAGAGGTGGAAGTTGCCATACAGGCTTGGTTAATAAGGGCTTCAGACAGAAGGCTTCTTCTTGCCAAGAAGTCTTGACTCGATTTAGGCAGAAATAAATATGTAATAATTTAATTTTTGTTTTATTTTAAATAGAAGTACCTATTATACGTTATTTTTAGAAGTTAAAAAGCATTATTAGCTACATTTTAATTACTTAATAGTATTAAGTTAATACATTAGAAACGTTTTGGCGATTTAGCAATGCATAACCAAAACGTTTTCAATAGGTAGTCTTTAACATCTTAAAGACGTCTTAACGACGTTTGGCCACGACTTAATAATGCCGTTAAAAAGACATCTTAAAGACGGTGTGTTTTGTAACATTAGATATCTTAAAGACGTCTTAAAGATGACTTACGTCGTAAACTGGACGTCTTAAAGATGTCATGAACGTCCGAGTCCGACATCTTTAAGATATCTTTAAGATGTCTCTGTGCTATCTGGGTAATAACGTCAATAAAAAATTATCCTGAAGGTACTCCCAAAATTTCAGATTTTTAAATTAATTTTTAACCTGAGCCCCGACCACTTTTAATAAAAAATTAGATTAATCCTAAAAAGTGGGAAAAACTCATAATTTATAATTTTTTTTTTTCAAACGAGGTTTTTTCTTACTTCTTTACTATCCTGAAGGTATTCCCAAAAATTTAGATTTTTAAATTAATTTTTAACCTTAGCCCCGACCACTTTTAATAAAAAAAAATTGAAGAAATCCTAAAAAAGTGGAAAAAAAAACAATATTTTTTTCAAACGAGGTTTTTTATTAATTTTTTACTATACTGAAGGTACTCTCAAAAACTCGGATTTGTAAATTAATTTTAAACCTGAGCCCAGACCACTTTAAAAAAAAAATTATAACAAATCCTAAAAAAGTGGAAAAACGTCATAATTTTTAAATTTTTTTCCTTACTTTTTTACTATCCTAAAGGCACTCCCAATAATTCAGATTTGTAAATTAAACTTAAAAAAATCTTTGAAGATATCCTAAAAAAGTGGGAAAAACATTTAAACGAGTTTTTTCTAACTTTTTTACTTTTAAAAATTCAGATTTGTAAATTAGTTTTACACTTAAAAAAAATTAGAACAAATCCTAAGAAAGTGGGAAAAACTCATAATTTAAAAAAAAATCCAACGAGGTTTTTTCTTACTTTTTTACTATCCTAAAGGTACTCCCAATAATTCAGATTTGTAAATTAAACGTAAAAAAAAATTAAAAGAAATCCTAAAAAAGTGGGAAAAACTCATAATTTAAATTTGTAAATTAAACTTAAAAAAAAATTAGAAGAAATCCTAAAAAAGTGGGAAAACTCTTAAAAAATTTAAACGAACTTTTTTACTTCTAAAAATTCAGATTTGTAAAATAATTTTTAACCTTA